TCTTACATTTCACTTGTTATTCATGGTGCATGTTAGCAAACTGTAATATGATAACCGAAAATCTATTTAATTGTTTTTTAATAAAGACAATTTTACAATTAAATAACCTATTAAACAATGCATGTGACTTTGTGAGGTAGATATTTAAATTTATTCCAGTCCAAAATCATCAAATCTTTTAGCAATAATAAAAAAAAAAGAATCCAAACTTTTTATTAAATGCTAAGGGCCTATTATGGGGCATAAGCTATTCTTTCCCCTATACTTAGAAGAAATTAATGTACCTTAAGTAGTCTAATTAGAATCTGTTTGAGATTTTTATTATTTGTTAAATGGGTTACATCAGCTTCAGTCTCTTTGAAGATAGACGACTTACATGCATTAATTTGCTGAGACATTATAGTATTTGTTTAGTCAGGACAAAAAATATTAGTTAAATGAGTGAGAAAAATCTGGCCTGAAAATGACATTATATAGTCGATTTTATTCTTAATAAATATAAAAGATCAAGAATTAATTGTGTGAATAAAAATTGGGGCTGCAGGAGAATAAGCCATCGGACACACCACCAGAACCATGGCCATGTTGAAAACGACGAGTCTTGGGTTCCGGTAATATTTCCCTCTCTCATAATTTCCCTTGTCTTTTTTAGTTTTTTTTAAAAAAATTGATTCTTTCTATGTTCTTAGGATTCTATATGTTTTTTTATTTATTTTATGTTTCCAATTTAAGATCGGTTGAATCCTAACGACAACCTCTTGTCAGATTTGTTTTTTAGCTGTAGTAAAATAGATTTTCAAGTGTCATAGTTCACTGCTAATTGAGTTTTTAGTGGTTTGTAGTACTTACTTTTTCGTATATCTATAAATAAACGGTTTTTATACTAAAACATAAAAGAAAACTTTAATAGTGGACCACAAATATTCGAGCCTTTGGCATCAAACGATTCTCCTCGAAATGCGTTTACTTTTCTTGTTTATTTTTTTCCCTTGTCATCAGTTTTGGCGTTTTTGTAATATTTTGTCTGCTTCTTGAAAACTAATAAAAAATATACTTATAAACACATCACATGCAATGAATTAATACGAATATATAATTTCTTCTAATTACTTATAGTCATCTAAATAAAAAAATATGCATTTCAGCTACCAGAAAAGCTATACAAGAAATTGCCTCACAGTACCCGGATGCTCCGATACACTGTCCCTCTCCCCATGCTCGCTTATCCTATCTACCTGGTAATTTTTTTAGCTCTTAATTTTACTTAACAATTATAATTAATTTAGATTTTTTTTTGAGATTTAATATAATTTTTTTGTTGGATTTTACAGTGGTACAGAAGTCCTGGAAAAGAAGGGTCACATTTTAACCCATACAGTAGTTTATTTGCTCCAAGCGAAAGAAAGCTTATTGCAACTTCAACTACTTGCTGGTCGATAATGTTGGTCACTCTTATCTATCTATCATTCCTCGTTGGTCCAATCACCGTTCTTAAAGTCTACGGTGTTCCTTACATCGTAAGTTCCATATTTTTATATAGCATGAGAAAATTTAGATACTTATCATTCATAATTTTATTGACATAATAATTTTGGAATTTTGCAGATCTTTGTGATGTGGTTGGACGCTGTTACGTATTTGCATCATCATGGTCACGATGAGAAGTTGCCTTGGTACAGAGGCAAGGTAATTAAATCAATTCTTAATTTAAAAGCAAAAAAAACAGCAATGCTGATTATTGATTAATTTGAGTTGTTGCTGTTTTGTGTATCATAGGAATGGAGTTATCTACGTGGAGGATTAACAACTATTGACAGAGATTACGGAATCTTTAACAATATCCATCACGATATTGGAACTCACGTGATCCATCATCTCTTCCCACAAATCCCTCACTATCACTTGGTCGATGCCGTGAGTTATCTCTTTCTAATTTTAATCCAATTTCATTTGATTAATAGGGTGATTAATTACTGATTAGTGAAATTATTTAAATGAATGATTCGACAGACGAGAGCAGCTAAACATGTGTTGGGAAGATACTACAGAGAACCGAAGACGTCAGGAGCAATACCGATTCACTTGGTGGAGAGTTTGGTCGCAAGTATTAAGAAAGATCATTACGTCAGTGACACTGGTGATATTGTCTTCTATGAGACAGATCCAGATCTCTACGTTTATGCTTCTGATAAATCGAAAATCAATTAACCTTCTTCCCCCTTTTTTTTGTTTTGTTTTAGCTCTATTAGGAATAAACCAGCCTTTTTTTTTTGTTTTTACTTATTTGTTGTTGTTTTTAAGTTAAAATGTACTCGTGAAACTTTTTTTTTATTAATGTATTTACATTACAAAACGTAAAGTTTTGTTCTTTCCCTTTTTTTCTTTCTGTTTTTTAGTTACCTTCAAAAGTATCTTTTAAACTTTTTGTTTGGGACAAAAGATAAAGGCAAAGAAAAAAGACAGTTCCACTGAAAGTAGACAAACTGCACGCCGTTTTTGGGTCCCATCACAACAACAATGTGTCACTGTCACGGGGTTGTTGCTTTTTTAAAAGTAATGGGCAATACACACTTTACGGCCCAAATATTTAAAGCCTTTTAAAACGCAATTGGTAATGTTTCTTGGTTAAATCCGGTTTAGACTCTATAATTGAGTCGGAAGAAAAAGTCCGTCGACTCGTTGCTAGTTGTAATGAACATCTCATCTTGTTATTCCGTTTCTACGGTAATTGGAGCTGGATTTTGCACACGATAGCCATCCCATGAAAAATCAATCAACTACTATTTTGAAATAGGTCAAAGCCTAGATCAGCTTTAGAGCATCTCCAATATATTCATCTATTTTTATCTCTAAAATTGAAGAACTGCAAAATGGAATTGGATTTCTCTCCAATGTATTCTTCCATTTTCAACTCCAAAAAAATATTCTATGTATATTCTTCATTTTTATTTTATTGTTAATTACTAATAATGTACTTTATTTATAAAATTTACAAATGAATTCATTTATTTTTTTAGTTAAAACTTCTAAAATTATAATATTATTTTAGATTTAACTATTATAATATACAAATAATACTACACACCATTTAAAATAATAAAACAAAATCTATTTTAATTTTATGTATTTCTTATGTATTTTTAATTTTATGTTATTTCTAGCTTCAGTTAATCTTCTTATATTTTTTATTTTCTATTCTCAAATTTAAAATCTATTTATCTTTAATTTTAAATTAAATATATATAATATAAAGGATTAAACTATAAATAAAAAAATATAGTTTTAAGAATTAATGAAAAGTAAAAGATTATCTTGTAAATAAAAAAGTTCACCTGCAAAATAGAGTTGAAAATAGAGTTACTCCATATTTGAAGGAAAAAATAACATTTTTTTATTTTACATATGAAAATGAAGTAGAGTTAGAGAAGAATTTCCTCCAAAATAGCATTTAGAGGAAGAAATTGGGTAGAGTTGGAGATGACCTAATTAACAAAGTCAAATTTAGCCTATCTCCAACTCTCATGTGACACTCCACCTAGATGACCAAATAATCAAGCTCCTGTAAAAGTTAAGACAAGGAAAAGAAAGTCAAAAGGACGAGTTGAACAAATCAATTATATTTTACTTATATGAAGGACAAATGTTATTTCGACCAAAAACTAATTCACCCCTCTCTCTAATTTTAGGATTAGGATTCAAATAAAATGATAATTGTTTAAACCAAAAATAAAATAAAATGATAATGGTGGATCGATTGATTGCTGCTACTACTATGAGAAGATTCTCTACTATTTTTGTTGGTTATGTCAACCAATTTTAAAACCAACGAAATCTTATTTTTGGTGGTGAAAATATGAAGATGGTGAAAAATGTCAGAATAAAAACAAATATTATAATTACAGATTTTGGGATTACAAAACAAAACAATATGAATTGGTTTTATCTTATGAAGCAAAATTAAATTGTAATTGATTACTTTGCGTGACATGGTCATTTGGAATACTTTGCTTAATTATGTTCAACTGTTTTAGTCATGGGTCATATATGTTTGGAAATATGTAAAATTTCGGCCAAATGTAGTAGGTTATAGTACCATTGAGAAACATAGTATACTTCCACATGTCTTAGATTTTCAGTCTCTACCATTTTGGTAAAATTGAATATCTTAGTCTTTGAATATTATGGTGCTTTATATATATAAGATGTCCTAAGTTTTGATGTTGTTTTTTAAGATCGCACAAAGAATGTACATCATAGAACTGTTTTATCTTTTACTTGTTTGGTTTGGACTGTGCATAAAATTTAGATAGTGTATTTCATAGAAAAGATCAAAACTGTCAGTAGATTCAGATCAATTGATGATATTTGGTGTAGTTTATTGATGTTTTCTTAAAAAAAACAAACATATTACAAGATGGAAGAAACTAAAAGAACAAAAATAAAATAAAATAAAGAGACAGATTCAAATAGCTATGGGTCTTTTTATCGTTTATTTGTTTAGGAAAGGAAGAGAAAAAAATTCTAATACTCCAGTTAGGCCCAAATTGGCAAAACAGGAAACAAAGTCATCAAATGCAAATCCAAAATGTCAAATATCGTTATAACAGTGACATTTCAAACCAAGAAAACCACTCAATACAGATTTCCAAAGTCAGAGTAGTATAATGCTGTCCACATCTGTGAAAAGTTTGATGCACCACCTAATAAAAATTACTTCATAATCCACATTGCACTCTAGAATTCAAAAAGGGGCCAAAATTCATAGACGTCGAACTATCATAAAAAAAAAGAAAGAAAAATCGTTTAGAAAGAAGCTATTAGACAATCATGGAGTAGACGTTGATGTCATATTAGTTGCTACCTGAATACTTTTACCATCAACTTCTTATTAATTGTAAGAGAGTAGTAACATAATGGGTTCTTTATTTACAAAATTAGCTAAAAACTATAAAAAAAAGAAGAAGCCTAATATAAAGATCGTAATATCGTTATACAAAATATACAAATAACCATTCGATGATATAATAATCGAACTTAGGGCAAAGACCAACTGAAAGAAGAACAAAAAATTAAGAAGAGATGCCTAAAAAGCTAAAACCAAAAGCTGTGACAATTTGGCACTCCTTTAAAAGCTACGTACCACAGATTAAGCTCAGCTTTAAGCCTATAATATACATTTAGTGACAAAGCACAAACTCAAACCAAGCCGATGACAAAACTCTCAGAAGATCCTATATAACTATCATCACCATATTATAAGAACCGAAATAATCAGATCACTTCAACTCTCGCTGGAAACTGTATTCCGGCGGTTTCCTCTTCAGCCGTAGAATCTCTGGACGCGACAAGTTTCACAGCGAAAGAAGAAGTGGAAACAAACTTTTGTCTCGCTTCAGCGAAACTTGAAGCAAGAACAGTTTGAAGCCATTGATCAATTGTGTTCTCTTCATCTGATGACCATCTTAAGGCAGCTAGAATCCGAAGGATCGCATCGTTTTCGATCTCTAGATGCATTTCAGGTCCAAAGAACCGACGAAAATGCGAAAAGATGTTCTCTTTTATGTTCTTTGCTAACCCATCGAAGTCAATCAGATTGAATGTAACTTTCCCATCTACTTGCTCGACAAAATCCTCAAGCCAAGCTTCTGTATTCTCGGACATTGCATTCGCTTCATCAGAGTTTGCTTCTGTCTCATCCACCGGAAGATTAAGATCGAGAAACGAACGTTGAGACTTAAGTGCTCGAAGCTCTGTAACCTCTGTTTCTGACTCATCCTGTCTTCTCTTATTTAGACCGTTCTTGTTAACAGTTGAAGCTTCGTCGGATAGTTTTATCTGAAGTTTCCAGTTTTTGGCACTGAGCACTCTTTCCTCGGAATATTTGACAGGCTCTTCACTATCTTTATCAATCCCGGAAGTAGTAGCAACAACGATAACATTTTTCATACTGATCTCTCTCCCATGCGAATCAAGGAGCTTTCCAGTTCTCACAGCATCAGACAATCTGATCTGATCAGGGAACTCAGCTTTCTCCACGTTTTCAATGAAAACAACAGAATCTGCGCCACGCTTTGCCACTTCGCTGGCAATGAAATCAACGACAGTTTTTCCTCTGAATCTATCGTCGAGGCTGAACTGTGCCTTGAAATCCACACAGATGCAGTTGTCTTGACCACCGCACAAGATCTCAGCAAGAGCCGAAGCTACTTTCTTCTTCCCGACTTTATCGGGTCCAAAAAGCGCGAGCCAAACATTTGAAGCTGTTTGGCTTCTTCTCCTTGACTCATCTCCTCTGTATCCGCATATGATTTCGCTAATGGCGTTCACTGCTTCATTCTGAAAGCCGACTTTCCGAGACAGTTGTTCTCTGAGAGACTTGAAATCTCTGCAATACCGTGAAGCAGCCGCCAACAACGGTTTCTCTTTGATAACCACCAGAGAGTCTCTCCGGTCAAGAGACACTGGTGTGCTTGACTCCTGGTTCTTCGACGCGTAGATTGTTCCCAAACCTAAATCTGTCGTGACACAGCTCAAAGGCGAGTTCGTTGTGCGGCTTGTGATTACCTCTGTATGTTTTGGCTTCGAGATTTTAACTGATAAACCGGGCTGGTGTGTTGGATTCTGCGCTTGAGCCGACATCCCATGAAAGCTTTCAGACATCCTAATCCGACCGCTAAGCTCGGTTGGTGTCGCGAGACTCGTCTTGGTCTGGCTAGAGGAAACAAGCTGAAGCGGGAACTGTGGTCTCACTGGCTGGAAACTGAGTTTAGGAAACGCCGGAGTTTGATGGATCCTTTGACAAATGTCGTCCCATTTCTTCTGCAGAGCAGGGATCCGAGAGGCTAATGCGTTTGGATCATCTTTAACCTGCACTGAATATAAAGCAAACACTCTCAAGATAGAAACAAGAGACTGAAACTCAGAGAAGAAGAAGTTAATAAAAGCCGTACCTTTATGAGAATCCCTTTGTCTTGATTTCGTAACCAAGAAGGTAACTTCTCTGAAGACTGATCATCGGTTAGTGAGAGACTTGAACCGGACTTAGCCAAGGCTGTGACTTCTTGCTCATACTTCTCGTTGCAGAGATGACACCGAGGAGGAAGAGTATGGTTCATTGAGTTACTAAACGGTACTCTGAAATCTGATGTTGATGAGAAAAACCCTCCAAATGGAACAAATGATCCCATCAAACTGTACATATGTATATAACCCATCAAATAAAGATTCAAACTTTGAAAGACAAAAACAATTGAAACACATATAGAAAGACATGTTACCTGGATTTTGGATAAACCCCTTGACTCGATGATGTAATCGGAAGAAGATGAAGATTCCAGTCTTTGTCGATCGTCGGAAACCTCTCGATCAGTTTCAAATACGTCTCGTTGCTCGAAACACTCCCGATGAACCAGAGTCTCTCGCTGTGAAGCTTCAACAGATCCGAGAGCTTCGACACGAGAGCATCACCGGTCAAAACCTTTAAATCTCCCAGATTTAGAACAATCCCTGATTTGGTTTTCGATCTCGACCAATTTTCCTCAACGATTCTTCCTAATTCGTCGACTAAATTCTCACTAATCTCTTTCTCTACACTAACTACACTTAACCCACTAATCTCCAGAGGCAAAAACCCAAACTTTCCTCTGTTAATCGAATCAGCAAACGTTTTAAGAGCTTCACCACCGCAAATCCCAACAAGCAGAGGATTCTTCTTATCTTTCCGGCCCAAAACCTCGCCGATTCTCCGGCAATTATCGTCGAAATCGCCGCTAAACCCGAATCTAGCCCGACCCGAATCAGATTCCGGGAGGTTGCACAGAAAGAGAGGCGGACAACGAGATCGCGGAAACCTCGTGGCGAATTGCGTAACCGGAGGATGAAGCACGTCGAGCTTGATGTCGGTGCTCCGAAACCCGGCTTCACCGAATACCCGGCTCACAATCGGGTCATCGAGTATCGACAGAATAAAATACTTAAGCTCGACCTTCAAAACCGACGTCGTTTGAGTAGTCCCACCGTGGATTTGATGGAGGTGATAAGTCTCCGGGTGCCTTCTCTGAGTCGCCTGAGAGCGTTTGATCGCCGCCATGAGCGAGTTCGATACCGGCGGCTCCACCGCCTCGCTCTCCGCCGGTGATTTCGAGGAAGGGAGTCTGTCGAGAGATACGCCGACGCAGAGCTCCAGCGCGCGAAATTGGAGACGGGAAGAGTACGGCGTGCTGTGGGCGGCGCGTGAAATGCACACTTCCCGGAGAATCGACGAAGGCATCGTTAAGAGACCGGAAACGGCGTGAAGCGACGTCGTTTGAGCGTGGCTTCTCCTACGCGCGACGGCCACAGCGTCGTCTAATGCACGTGCTGTTTCTTCCGTTAAACATTGCCTCGCCGTGCTTACCGGTGTCGGCATCGCCGCCGGTTTAGCAAAATTCAATTTTTTTTTAAAAAACACGAAATTAAACTAAACCACCCCAATAAAAATCATAAAAACAAACAAAAGAAAATAACAAGAGAAGAAGACGAAGGAAATGCTTAGAAAATGTATAAACAAATCGCGCGTGAAGTTTCTGGAAATGGATTTTTACGACAAAGAAATCAAACCGAGTAGTCGCTTTTTTGAAAAAGATATATTTTTAATTTACGTATATAAATATGTTTTTATGTTTGTTTTGCTTCTTTTCTTTGGTTTCAATCCTCAGGCTTACGCTTGGATATGTAGAAAGAAGAGTCGCTGTTTCAATTGGTCTATTGTCAATGGGTCCCACTAATATATATATCTTTATATTTGAATTATTACTATACAGTATATTTTTTTTTTGTAATTTTGTTGTTGTTATTGTTGCCCAAAATCCTCGTGTATATTGAAGGAGCAAAGGCACATGTGGTGAGCATAGATTCTCTATGGCCCAAGTGAAAGATCTTCTTTTACTTCTATTCGCTTAAACTCTTTTCAAAATTTCCATTAATTCCGGATTTGACAATCCAACATTTTTTGTTCTCACAATTATTCTTCTTTTGTTATTTGATATCAAATATTTTTGATATCCTCTTCTTTTATTCTTATCTCAAGTATCTTATTCAACTGACATGAAAATATCTTAGTTTGAGTATCTATGCATATCTTTTTCTTTCAGTTTTTTTTCCCCTACTTTGTATTCGATTTATGTTTAAAAAAAAACTTTGTATTCGTTTTGTACACATTAACTAAATCAGACGTACTTCCACACTAAACTAAATTCTGATTTGGTCCATTGGTTTAAATATGTCAGTTTTATTCCCTTTTCTTATTAGCAGAGGGAAAAATGACAAATTTTTTGTTTTTCTATATTTGATAATCAAATTTTGTTCCATGGTATCCGAACAAAATCAGGAAAATCAAAGACAACTCAAAAAATGTTTCTGTGGTTCAAATACATGAACTGATAGTAAACCGGAATCATAATACCCCTTTTTTATACTTACTTGCATACACCACAAAGAAACATCTTGGATAATAGATTATCCTAAGAGGAGATGTCAAAAACTTTGTTCTCAATCAACAATATGATGAGTTGACCACATAGCAGTCTACTATGTATGAAGATCACACTATTGACCACATCAAATGGAAGACTTGTTATGTAGAAGATATATGAACTATTAAAAGTAAATTTATTTAATATCCTTTTCGATTAGGTTAGAATCTTGTCTGTATCTATCTTAGGCTACATTCTCTTGTGTATAATAATTAGTGTTGTATATTCATTATTATTACAATATACAATGAATATGGAGAAACAACACTCATCTAGAAGCTATTTGACAAATCATAATTCCTTAAGACATCTCTAGCACAATGCTCAACCAATAAAGGTGAATATATAATTTGCTTTCAGCCTCTTAATTTTCCAGAAGTTATACTTTATATAGGAAAACATAAAAGCCACTTATAATCATAACAAGTTCTCTCGTTATCTCAACTTAAAAGAGAATCAATCGAATGAATGTTTGTGTATTAATCGATTATGTTTTTTTTAAAAAAAAAAACTATAGAGAAAATAAAACATGATGATTATAGTAAAAAACTTTGCTTAGAAAAGTTAGATTAGAATATTGAAAATAAAAATTTGATATTTAATATAAACATGATTTGTAAAATAAAATTGAGAGGTATAATTGGAATGATTAACTAAGACAGGTCAACTTAATGCTAATTAAGCATATATTCAGTGGTAGACAGTGATATAATTTTACTTTTGAGAGATTAGATGGTTGTGATAAGGTAAAGAATAAAAGCATGAGTAAGTGATTAGGCCCCAACCCCTTTATAAATTCCACCACCACCATTTATATGCGGCTTTTGTGTCATTGTCATTGAAAAAGTCTTTTATTAATAATAACGAAGAAGAAAAAAACTTGCCTTTTTTGTTTTACTTTTATCTTCCACTTTTTTATATTCTCCGTCACAAAGGCCTCCTTTTGTCTTTCCTCTTTTGGAAAAGGAAATTTACTCAATGACCAATCATTATTATTTATACCACAAAGTAGTTTATATTTTCAGACCAATTAAAGACAAACAAACAATAATAATTTTGTTTTCAACTAACGAAATAGTACAAATTATCGTTTCAATAAATTAATTGACCGCCATCTAACTGTATATATACGTAAATAAAGTAGTCTCTCTAGACACGTCAACCAAAATAGGCCAACTGTATATATAGCATATGTTCCAAAGTCCGATTCGTTAAAAAAAAATTAGGACATATATATCCCATAAAAAGTTTCTTGTTTTTATTTTTAAAATACTTCCATTAACTTAAAATGAAATAAATACAAAGAATTTGGTCAAAACTTTTACTTTACAAAACCAAGTGACAAACTGAACCAGATAGTCTTTAACAATCTGGAGGATACGTGGACTGGTAAATACTTGCAAGAGGAGAGAAGTGTTTCCATCAAACTAGGCTTCGGTCAGATAAAGTTGCCGGAGCAAAGTATTTTTTTCGAACAGTGAGATCCATCTTCTTGAAAATTTGTGTGGATTTTGCAGTGAATTGCTATGATTTTTGAGTTTCTCTTGCGTCGTATTGAAAAAAAAAACTGATTATATTGTGAATATGATACTAATTTTTTTTCTATTCTCGATTAAATATGTCGATGTAGTTTATTGGGTTAAATTAAATGAATAACCAAAATCCGATAATTGATAAAAAATATAACCATAAAAATCAAATAATTAACCAAGTAACAATATAGAGGTTTTAGAGACGAAAATATCCTTATAGATAAAAACAGGTGAACTGATAATTGGAGAGAGAATTTTTCGCAAACGCGCCACACGCGTTAGTTATTACTATGTTATATCAATATAAACACTCTAATCACTAACATAACAGAGACTAGTAAGAAAAAATAGACAATCTATAATATTTATTTTGACATATATATGTTTACCCTGCAAATTTTATTTTTTGCATAACTTAGATACTGTTACTGTTTAAACTATATATTAGTACCAAAAAACATTGATTTTTTCTCGTCTAACATAATTTTAATTTCAAAAAACAAATCCAAATTTTTATTTATACGTCAATAATGATACTAATAACATAGAAAGTCTATTTTGTCAGTAATATAGCATGACTATTTAAAAATAAAATGAAAGGGATAACAAATCGAATAATTTAAAACATAAATTCTCTACAAAAAATATATATATAAACTTTTGTGCATTTTTCTCATCTATATACTAACCCATTATTTACAATGTTACATTCGTCATCTCCAACTGAGTATGGATTTGATAGATGTAATAGACTGCAAAAGGAGATGAATAGAATAAGGGAGAAAATGGATATAATGAGATATATTATATACATATTCTATATGTTTTGTTATTTTTTATCAAATTTTTTGTTAAAATCAAATTTATAAAAATAGACGTTCTATAAACAAATTCACAAAAATAGACTTATAAATAAAAATTTGACGTATAAATAAAAATTTGACGTATTGAGACGTTCTGGTGAGATTTCACATGGATTCGGTAAGAGAGATTACTACGGACTATTGGTATTGAGTCGGCAAAAGAAGTTGCGCCGGAAAAAAAGTTTGCGTGAGGTTATCGATACGATGGTGGCAACAAGTTTGCAGCAGCGAAGAATTGAGAGGTAGAGAATCTCTAGGAGAGAGGGAGATGATAAGTTTAGAAAAAAATTTATACGTTTGTGTGAGTATAGTTGAATTATTGTTAGCGTAATAGGTAGAAAATTTGTAGGAGAGAGAGTAGAAATGTTTAAAGATATAGTTGTATATATTGTATATTATACATAAAATATAGTAACCATCTTTCTTATATGATTATTCTTTTAATTATTGAATTATTTTTGGTTATTAACTGCAATTTCCCTAGTTTATTTCTGGATTCAATCACTCAAATAATTATAGCTTAAGTGATAGAAACATTTGTTGTAGATAGAGAGAAAGGACATTAAAAAGGTGGTTCATTGATTCAACATTAGAGGAGCATAAGTGCACAACGAATCAACATTCAAATCCTATGAAATCATCATGTCCCTAGTTGGATTTTTGTCAAAGTGAATATTCAAGTGATAAACTGGAGTTTTGCTACGTACCATAACCCATTTGCGTCGACAAAAAAATAAATAAATAGAAACCCATTTACAAGAAGAAGAGTTTAGAATTGCACTCCAAACTTTCGAGGAGGTGAATAAAGAAGACTAGGTAAGTAATTAAAATATACCAGAATGCTTTGTCATTTTCGGTTGTGGAGAGAAATCGAGTTTTTTTTTAACTAATATATATTTTGGCTAGGGTTTTTTGGGTTGGTTTGACTGGATTCAGATTGATTGTATGTATATAGAAAGCCGTAAATAACTAGAGCTGCTTATCAAAAAGCCAAAGTATATAACATTTAAGATCATTTTTATCGCTGAATACACATTTAAGTTTCTTAAACAATTTTTTACTATTAAAAATGGGTCCCACATACAAATACGTTTCTTATAGTTCCCAATTAAGAAACGTTTTTTGCATATTATAATAGGTCCCACATGTTTTGCATTATTTTTAATACTAAAAAAATTAAGAAACTCTTAAAAAATGTGCGATAATCATGAGTGTCTTTAAGGTAGGTTTCTTGCTGTTCAAAAACAAAAAAGTAGGTTTTTTAGAGTATGAATGGTAACTGCAGACTAATAAAATGTGGGAGAGTATTTGTAAATCAAACTTTTATGTTACCAATCAATAATATTATTATATGAAGTATTGATGCAGAGTGGTTTTGTTTTTTTTAATAAAACATAAAAGTAACTTTCAAATACATAGTTAATCAAGAATTTTAATTTTCAAGAGTAGTGTTTAGTTCATTCGCTTATAAATCATATTATACACAAACTAAAGGTAAAGAAACGTAAGAGATGATATAGTTATATTAAAACTGAAAACATAGAATAAGAAACCTACACCAAACACACTTTGTAAATGTTAAATATTTTGGCTTTCTGCTAAGTATTTAGAATAATCTCGTTACATATTTTTTTCTCTTCTGACTTATCTTTTACGATCATATTTAAATCTTAATCGCAAATACTTATCCAACTA